ATAGATAGTAGCTTAGCTAGGTACAGTGTGTATAGGACAGGTAAGAGGGGTGATCCTTAGGGCGTGCCAAAGGCAACTAGGTAGCTAGGGGTAGTAACCTAGCTAAGGCAGACCTAGACTCTTTAGTTAGTAAGGAAAGAGTTAATAAAGAGGATTGTCCTTTGTGGCCATCCCTGTTAGGCTATCTAGTAAAGCAGGTGGTTCTTAAGGAGAGTGTTAAAGGCGCCTTGCACGTCTAAGGTGACCATAGTAATGTGCTAGCCTTTTGCCTAAGCAGCCTCTGTATTATAAGTGAACGCTGCAGTAAGATCTACAGCAGAGCGCTTTAGGAGGGCACCTCTATATTAGGGGCTAAGGATCTTGTAGGTCATAGCAGTCTACGCGATTCTTCTAGCCACTGTTTGTTTAAGCCCCTTTCTAATGCAGGAGAGGAGTGCTATAGGCCTCTATAACTAGGGTGACGTCTAGTCTTTCTTTCCTACCTTAGGTATTATAGCTACTTCTGCTAGCTTCTACTGTGCAGGGAAGTAGTTTAGTTTAAGGCACTACTAGAAGATCTGTTGTATAAGTTCCCTAACCTAGGCCTAGCAGGCGCAGAGCAGTCGCACTGTAGAGCAGTCCGTGCCTAGGGAGGTGCTAGTAACCCCTATTGTGTTTCGCTTAGACTCCTCTAGTGAGATGTGTGTGCTCCACGGCAGAGGAGCTGCAGTCTCCTAATCTAGGTGGTGGCTAAGATCGTCATCCGCTGTGTATTAATTAAGAACTTCCTGTCTAAGTGCCTTAGCCTTCTCTAGGGGGTTAGATATTGTCCTATTATCTATAATAAGCAGAGTGTCCTAGTTCTCTAGTGTAAGCTTATACTAGGTAATAATCTTGAACAGATCCTTATTATCCTTAGCATTATTAATAACGTGCCTCTAGTATTACCTTTTAGCCTGTCTAACTGTAGTCTTAAAGGCTTGTATTTCTTCTAGTAGAGGTCTGCCTAAGTAGTGCTGTTAAGCGCGTTTGTGGGCTTAGTAGGAATTCTTACATTCCTTAGTCCACCAAGGCACAGCGCGTCCCTCCTTGTGGTCAAGCTTGCCTGCTGTTTGTATAGAGTGCTGCACGGTCTCTGTCAGCAGCGCAACACAGTTGTCAAGTTGTGCTGCATCCTGTGCTGCACGCAGATCTAGGATGCTCTAGACGCCTATTTCTACTAGCCTAGTAAAATTTAGTAGGCTTGCCTCTAGGATTCTATAGTAATACTAGTCTAGGTGTAGAGTGCTAAGTGTAGAAGTAGAGACAGAGGTTACTATTATCTCGTGGTCTAACCTGCTGTGTATGCCAGCATCTACAGCAGACTGAGCGAAGAGGACATTAGAGAAGGTGAGATTAATAACATGTCTAGCACAGTGTGTTGGCTGTCGTGGCACGCCAATATAGTCTATAGAGGCGGCGGCGGCCCACCTGGCGAGCTCTATGCCGCCACTAGCTGCGGAAACAGTGGGTTCGAAGGATTTGTGTCTGACGTTGAAGTCCCCTCCTATAACGCAGTGTTAGGGGGGTGTGAGATGCGTAACGTATTAGAGTACGTCTAGGGTAAGTGGCTATCTATAGCAGTTTAGTATTAAGACTCTATTCACAACAGCCTATAGCAGGTCTAGGTAATTAAGGCTTTCTCTAGCCTGCAGTTTTAGGTGATGCCCTTTGCGTATATAGGTTATCACCCTAGGGCAGGCTAAGCCTAGTACGTTAGGTGTGTCCTAGGTGCTAATAGGTGTGAGGTGTCTAAAGCTAGGGTAGGTGGAGGTCCTTAAGTTAGCATAAGTAAAGGGCTCTTAGACGCATACAACATCTATGCCCTTCTAGAAGGATACTTCTAGTATTGTAATGTGGCAGGGTGAGCTTCTGCTAACGTTAGCCCAGCATATGCGGAGTTGGTTTCTCTGCTGGCTAGGCTGTTGATGCCTGTTGTAGGTAGAGGGCATGTGTGGATGTCCTAACATGTGGATGGTGGCTTATCGCTTATGCTAGTGTCCTCCCTCTCTAAGGTAGAGGGGTTAGTGTAGATAGTTAATTGTGGGAGCAGACTGTTGGCAGACATGTCCCTTACATTCAGGTTTGCACAGCCTGCAGCAGCCTGTCTTAGTCTCTTTTCTCTGCTAGTAGTGGGCAAGGATGCTTGTAAGGCGCTGCTTATTCTAGTTGTAGCTGTCCTGCTGTCTTCCTCTAGTGTATTCCTCTAGGGAGGAGGGTAGGGAGCTAGTATCTCCTAGGTTGCCTCTAGGGGGTATCCTCATGCTGCGGTAACGCCTAATTAAGGGTCTCTTCTACTGTCCTATTAAGGTGCTGGTATGTTACTCTGCCTGCGCGGTGGATAGTGTTTAGTTTAGTATTGGTGGACTTAATAATGTGTCCATGCACCTGCTAGGGGGCAGCAGGGCAGTTAGAGTGACTAGCTAGGTGTGGGCTATAGTAGTTAGCACACTTAGCTTTATAAGGGCAGTTGTCTCTATAGAGCCCTTGGTGTCTATCTGTGTGATCCCTACAGCGCACACAACAGGCTACTCAAGTACAGCGAGCAGCGTTGCAGTACTGCTGGCAGCCTGGGTTGTGTTGCTGTATAGTAGGGTGTTTATAGATTTCCTTTGAAAACTAGCTGGTGCTAAAGAGCTAGAATGCGCAGACTAGCTCTTTGTATAATATAATCTAGGTAGTTAGGCTATTCTAGTTGGCTCTATGTCGTGAGGTTGTGCAGCTGACTGGCTGCTTGCCTGTTTGTAAGCAGGCCTCTTCCTCTACTAGCTAGGTAGTAGTAGGTAATTCAGTACTGTCTAGGGTCTAGAAAGAGCTTAGTACTCCTTACACAGCATAGTTAATCTAGTATTCTAGGATCCTAATTACATCTCTACCTAGGGCTTTTACTATAAGCTCCTAGTTTTCTTATATTAGAAGTTAGTCCTAAACTGTTCTACTTACTAGCGTGATTACCTAGCCTGTTTTAATTAGTAATGTAGTAGGGATATCCTAAAGAGTAATTCCTTCTATACTCCTACATAGGCTGGCGGATGGGTAGGGTATGCTTTTTTACGTTTTGGCTTATAGCTTCTTAACTAGCAGAGATACGCTTACATAATCTATTATTTAATAGAAGCGCCTAGTATTGCGCCTTCTAATAAAAAAAGAATTAGCTAATTCTGCCTAGTATTAGCTAAGTTATTAACACTACCTAGCAAAGTATACCTATTAATAGGTATGCTCGCTAGGTACCCCCCCTTTTTTAACGTTTTCTAGCCTCTAGCTTATGCAGTTTAATAGTTATAACAAAACCTTCTACTACAAAAATGTAGAGGTGGTTTTTCTCTTTCTTTTCAGCCCTAGTTCGCTAGAATCCATGTATTATTGATAAGGTTTTGGGGGGTACCCACGAAGGACGTTGGAGTATACCCATTCCGCCAGCCTACTCCTACATACTGCCTGCCTTACTACAAATAGTAAGGGTTGTTGTAGTTGTATTGCTAGATTAGAGATAGCTATGAAGATTTAATTGTATTCTTTGGGCTTAGCTGGCGGGGCAGGCCAAGATCTAGCAGGGTTCAGGGATCGGCTGGCGCCCCTATCCGACATTTGGGGGTCTCTGGCTACGTCCGCCCAGGAGCGGCAGCCTGAGTCCTGGCTCCTAGAGTTGCTGTAGCTGGCATCGCTGCTCCAGCGGGAGCTGCTTGGAGAGTTGCTTGGGCAGAGGGAGGTCAGGGCGTGGATAACTTTCTGCTGCAGCTCCTCTGCGATCCTAGCTTCTTTGGGGTTAGTGTAGCCCTGAGCGTGTTGATCTACGGCTGCTGCGAACGCAGCAGTGATGGTGTTCTATAGCTGGGTGAACTGCTAAGTCTCGATGATGTGGCGTTGGACGGCGTCAGAGACTCGAGGTTTGGGAGCGCCCCTACTGGGGTTCTGGCGGCTCAGCGGGGGTGCCTGGTGATGCACATCCCTCTGAAGCCGTCTTGAGGCGCGGGTATCAAGCTGCTGAGGGGACTCGGGGTCAGGGGACCCCGTGTGATGGGAAGGGGGAGGCTCTGCCATCCTATTGAGCTCCCTTGCGCGTTGCGCGGGGGGCCTAGACGGACGCTAGAGTTGCTCCCGGAGCGGCCGCAGTGAGCCGGATCGATTGCTGGGATTTTTGGAGCCTCTGTGAAGGAAGCCCAAAAATTAAAAGATTGGTGTTCGGGTGTAGGATTTACAGGTGATATACTAGTAGCTGTAAAGGCCTTTAATATAAGGCTTTCTTTGATTGTGTTCACCCAGGCAGGCTAGAACAGGGCATAGAAGTCACCTTTAGACAGTGGCGCAAGGCCTTAAGATGCCTAAAGGTAGTTGTTAAGTTTATAGGTGTAGTTAGAGGAGAGAAGTTTAAAGCAGACTATGTCTAATAGCTGCAGAGTCTAGGTACTGTAAGGAGGTAATACTACTAATATAATCTGTTTCTAGTAACAGTAATTAATAAAATCTAGTGTTAGATAACTCCTGTGGCCATCTATAATTAAGAGGCAGTACCTTAACTGCGCCTTAGGCTTTAAGTAACAGTTAAACACCTACTTAAGCCAAGCTAGTCTAATATTGTTGTTTGTCTATCCTAAGGGCGATAAGGCAACATAGGTTGAGTGCTTTTCTGCCTGGATTTCTACCACCCAGCGTCTCTAGAGGGTGGAGTTTTTTGACGCAAAAATGATGCCAGGTGGAAGAGCAGTACTATCAGCGCAGATTGCAGCTGGGAGGCTCACCTACTCACGTGAGCCATCTTGACAAGCCTGCATAACCTCCTTCTTCTTATATTAACGCTTACTAAACACCTATTTCGTTCTACCCAGCACTCTAATTGCAAAGCCCTTCTTATCTACATTGTACGTGTTTTCTAGCGCAATGTTATATTAAGTAATCTTCTACTGCAGAAGCTTAAAGTACAACTTGTAATTATACGCTAACTTAGCGTTATAGCGATTAGAGTCTATGCTAGTGGCCCATTAGGACGTGAGCTGATTCCGATGACAGTGCAGGAAGCACTGAACCCAGCTATTAGAGCAGGGCTGTAAGGCAACAGAGGATGCGAAATTCTGTACTATACGCCTTGTAGGTAGTAAGTGACGCGCTGACAGCTCCTCTATATACTTAACTAGATCTAATTCCTGTTAGTTGCTGAGTTTCTGTTGGTTCTTGTTAGCAACGCGTTAGGGAGCCTGCACACCTTGGTGCGCACAGGACAACGTGTTGCAATCAACACTGTGTTTTTCTGCAAGCTTTGTATAACGTAGATTATCACCAAGCTGGCTATATCACCAAACCAGCTATTTTCTCTTAGCACAACTTACACAAGTTACTACAACTACAACTACTTACTATTAAATAGTGACCTAGCATACTACGTGCTTACATTAGATTTAGAAGATATTTCTACACCCTCCTAGCACATTTATGTGTTGTGTCTAGTCTTGCTGTAGTTCCTACAGCGCTAAACAGTTAACTAAGCTCCTAGTTGACCACCTCTACCCTAAGTCTTCTTAGATGGCTAAGCTGCTACACACGCCTCAGCAGCTACCCGCAATGCTGCTAGGCTATACTTAAGTGTGCCACTATGCTGAATCTGCTTTCTCTTACGCGATTTTCTCTTAGTTATTACTACTAATTGCTCTTTAAGCTCTTACACATAGGCCTTAATAAGGATGTTTTTGTGCAGTATCTCTTTAGCCCCTTTTATAAGCTTTAAGAACCCCTCTTATGCTACACTTAGTAATTATTAGAAGGGGTTGCTTATAAGCTTAGATTAAGACCTAAACTTGTGTATATTGCTTAGCATCTTAGATTACTATAGCGTTTTAGGTAGAGGTACTGCTAGTAGGGTATGCAGCTGCACTTTAAGGCAATCTAACACTACCTATATATTAGTAGGAATAAGCCCTAATACCTTAAAGGCCTTTTAGTAGTTAACCTTTATAAATATATTAAGGAATATATCCCTAAAGGCTAGTAGGAAGCCTTCCTTATTAATATAGAAGATATGTTAGAATGCTAAGTCTTAAATATATTAGGAGTACTTATACTTTAATAGCAAGAAATAGACTATATTAAGTAGCTAGAGGATGTGTAATAAGTAAGGTAGTATA